TGTATTATTTGTCACTCTTAATGAAGTATATTAACATGTGCATTTGCTTTTAAACAGGCATGTAGAAGTTCAGGTATTTGGTGACCACCATGGCAATGCTGTGTACTTATTTGAAAGAGACTGTAGTGTACAGAGGCGACATCAGAAAATCATTGAGGAAGCCCCAGGGGTAAGGAGATGATAAACAAGTTTGTGGGTTTCTCTATAATATAAACCTCAGTCACTCTGATTTTCCCATCAGAAATCTGTGAAATGTCTCCCCCTAAAGTCCTAGTGGACAGCCATTTCCCAATGTAAAATAATGTTAACACCCACTGCAGTGTCGGGGGTTTGGGATGTGTGTGTGTTGGGGGGGGGTGTTCTTAGGCTCCCATCCAGAGGACACAACAGAGCCATGTCCCTTCTGCCTGGTATGGAGGGAGTCTCCTCTTAGCCAAGTATTAGGCTTACAGTATTTCCATGTAGCTTTTAAATTGTAATTAACAGAATGTTCAAAACATGGAGTGCTTTGAGTAATTGAATGTATTTTTATGAAGAAGATTCTGTCAGGGCCCCAATCACAGGCTGTCAGAAGGCAGGGCCTTTTTAGGTGGGAGCTGCAGCAAGTGGATTCCAAAATAGGGGAAAGAGGAGCGGGCACAAGGAAGACATGGGAGTCAGAGTTGGGTGCAAGTCTTCATGCCCATCTTTTTAGCAGGTCTTTATTTATGCTGTTTAGCAAGTAGTTAGTTACAATAATGCACCAGGTAAATTAATAAGAAATCAGCATAAAAGTTCTAAAGGAAGAGGGGATCAATGCATCCTCTTCCTGACACTTTATGGCATACTAGACTATACATCTTTGTGACAACTTTCATGTATACGATGGATGTTTAACTATGACTTCAAAGGATCAGGGCCTGGGAAAGGATGAGCTGTTAGGGGTCCTAGGGAAGGAATAAATTGTGTTAGCAGAGTCATCAGTGATTGTCTAAAGAAAAGCTGATGGCTAACTTAAGGCTAGCAGAGAGTAGCTAGTGTTTGTTTTAGGAAAAGGTTAATTAAGACTAGCAGAGAGTAGTTAGTGATTATTTAAGAAAAAGGTAAATTAAGAGGAAGTCACATTAAGCAAAACCTGTGTCAATAATGTTAGAGCCCTGGGGTTTTTATCTGAGATTTGCTTTTTGTTTTAAAAAAAAAAAACAAAAACCTGGAGGAAGCTTCCCTGGAGTCTTGATGGGGGGGGGGGGGGGGGTCTTATCTCTCCTGGAGTTTACTTTTTGTCTCCTGACAGAGGCTTGTACTTTGCCCTGGCCAGGTACCCAATTTATGAAGTTAAGGCAATCCAGTTGCAAACTGATGGTTGCTCAGAATATTTTTGACATTTTTGTCATACAAAAAAGGGAGATATAACCTAAGTTAGCAATGGAAATTCTGATTTTTCAGAGCTTTTCCCTTCCATCCAGAATTTGCTGGTTGACAGAAGTTGCATAGCTTGTGTCAAGAGTCTTTTTTTTTTTAATTGCAGTTTGAGGTAATTCCAAAATAAGTAGTCACTTTCCTATTTTATAGGTTCTGTTGTGAAGAGAGATTTACTATTTGTTAATGTTTGTCCCCTTAATATTATTATTTACATGCCTTGGATCTTAACTATTGATTGATTTAAGATGTTATCTGGGTCAAGACCTAGATAACCCTTGGACTATAGATTTTAAGATTCATGTTTCTTTGGAGCCTGTAATGATGTAGGCATCTTTTTCTCTTGCTTGCTTATATGAATATATCTGTAGAGCACTATTTTAAAATGTCAGAAGTCTTCCCTAAGCTTTCTTGTTTTCTTGCAATCTCAAGGCTTACCATTATTCTAAAATAACTCTTAGACACATGATCCAGAAATCAACTTGAAATAAACTTTTAAAATTTTCATATTAATATATATAATTTCAAGTGTATGTGTACCCTTGAAAGTTGATATGTAGGTGGGATAGAGAAATGTCACTGTACTGAGTTTTATCTGAAATGTTAGAGACATCAAACTCTGAGTCAGTCACAAACTGTGGTATATATCTTGAAGTGTATGATAGTAGGATTTTTTTCTCTAATTATTTCTTTATGCAATATTTGATACATAGAAATGTTAGATCTTAATGGAAAGTTTCTAATGGAGCAAGGTATTAATGAGAGTTTATTTTAATTATTTTTTCTAGCCTGGCATTAAACCTGAAGTAAGAAAAAAGCTCGGTGAAGCTGCAGTTAAAGCTGCCAAAGCAGTAAACTATGTTGGGGCAGGTATGTTAAAATTTGCTTCTAGTGGAGGAAAGGAAATAATTATTTACTTATGTTTCAGAAGGCAAAAGAACATAGCTTTTGAATCATTGACTTTCAGACTTCTTTGATCAAATTCAATTTAAGAAATATATTTTACTTTGAAGTTGATGCATTAATGTTTGTGCGTATATACACTGGAAAACTATATTTCACTAAATCCTAATTATGTGTAATGCTGTTTTGATATTTTCTACCCTATTTTAAATTCATTGAAATGTTTTTGTTATAAATTAATATACTTTCATTTTCTAGAACAATTTTAGATCACAGAAAAATAGAGCAGAAACAGTTTCCACATACCCCCTCCCTCACCCACACAGCCTCCTCCGCTACCAGCATCCCCGCCAGAGGGTATATTTGTTACAGTTGACAAACCTACACTAATATGTAATTATCACACAGAAAGCACAGTTCACAGCTGGGCTCCAACTTTGGTGGTGTTCATTCTAGTGCCATAGGTTGTAACATCATACAGAGTACTTTGACCATCCTAAACATCCTTTGTGCCCTGCTCTTCTCCCTTCCCTCTCCTATTCATCTTTCAAGACCTTCAAGTCACATAGTGTCAGTCTTTGCTTTGCTATTCTTCAAAATTGAGCTGGCTAGTCTGGGTCATTTTGTTTCTCAACATAAACTTTACTGAATCTCCCTATCCATGATTTTAATTCTTAATATCTTCCCATTTATTTAATTCTTTTACTTCCTTCATCAGGATTTTGTAGTTTCCATATATGGATTGGTATCTACTTCACTTTGGAGTGTTAATGTAAATGGCATCATGGTTTTTGTTGTTTTGTTTTGTTTTTAAGATTTATTTATTTATGCATACATAACTGGGGTAGAGGCCCCAGGTGCAAGGGTAGTGAGAGGATTCACCAGAGACAGAGTGGGAAGCAGAACAGGCAGACTGATGACATACACTGCTGAGGGGAGTAGTGGGTGAGACAGGAGAGGCATCTCCCTGGTGGGGATCGAACTCATGCTGAAGCAGCTTCGGCTAGCTTCATAATGCTGTGCCCTAACCCATTTTGCCACCAGGGAGGGCCCCTGGCATTGTGTTTTTAATTTCAAGTTTCACTTGTTCATCACTGGTGTATAGGAAAATGATTGACTTATATATTAACCTCATACTCTGAGACCTTGATATAATCTCTTAATTGTAGGGAGTGGTTTTGGTCAATTCTTTCAGGTATTCTACATAGATGAGAAAGTCATTTATGACCACAGTTTCATTTCTTCTACTTATATGTATATTCATATCTTACTGCATTTATTAGGACTTCCAGTACAATGTGGGAAAGGAGTAGTAAGAGCAAACTTCCTTATTTGTTTCTGATCTTCTTGAGGCAGTTTCTAGTTATCACAGTTAGTATGTTTACCATAGGGCTTTTTTCCTGTCAAGTTGAGGAAATTCATGTCTATTCAGTTGTTAAACTTTTAATTATAATCTTCAAATGCTTTTTCTTGTTGTGGCTCTTCTATCATCTTTAACCTGTTGGTAGAATGGATTGCATTAATTGTTCCTCAAATATTGGACCAGGCTGTCTACTTGGGATAAATCCCACTTTACCATGGTGTATTTTTTTTTTTTAAGATTTATTTATTTATGTGTAAATAAAGATCTAGGGTACAGGCTAGAGGGCAGGGGGACTTGAGACAGAGTGCAAAGCAGACCAGGTGGAATGACTGAAATACACTGCTGGGGAGAGCTGTGGATGAAACAAGAGAAGCCTGCTGTGCCAAGTGGGAAACCTCCCTGGCCAGGGATTGAACTCATGCTGCAGTGGCTATGGATAGCTTCATTGTGCAGTGTTTTAACCCCTTGTACCACCAGGGAGGCCCCTGTAATTCTTTTTATACATTGTTGGATTAGATTTGTAAATATTTTGTTAAAGATTTTTTTTTTAATCCTTGTATTGGTCTGTAGTGTTCTTTTCTTCTATAATGTTTATAAGCTAATGCATTTGTCTGACTTTGGTAATAGGGTAGCAGTAAGTCCTTCAAGCTGAAGCTATGCTTAAATAGAGAATTTTATAGAGTCTAATAGAATAAGGAAATAAGGCGTTCACATAAGCTTTAGTTTCTATGCAATCATTCAATGGGTCACCATAAAAGTGTTTTTACAGTAAGCTTCCCAAAACCTTCAGAAAGAGAGAGAGAACATGTATGTAGGAGTGTAGTACTTTTCACCACAGGCTAGAGTGAGATGGGAAGTTGAAGTATGAGATTCCTAGGAATATTGGTGCACTGAAGCAGTAACAGAGGGTCCAGCAATGGTCTCAACTGCCACGACAGCTAAGAATGGTTTCATAACTTGGGCTTGCCATTTATTTAAAATCCCAGTTATACTTTTTTTGCATCTGTTTCATGTGACTCCTTACTTTTACTAAGAATCATTTGGTGCTGCAAAATGGGAGATGTCTTCATTAAATGCAAAGTACTTATTATTGAATAAAGGCAGCAGAGATAACCGATACATCGAAGATTTTTATTTGCTGCTGGCTATATACCATTGAAATATGACCACTTTATTTTACCTTTTAGGAACTGTGGAGTTTATTATGGACTCACAGCACAATTTTTACTTCATGGAGATGAATACGAGACTGCAAGTGGAACATCCTATTACTGAGATGATCACAGGAACTGACTTGGTGGAGTGGCAGCTTAGGGTGGGAATATATTTTTTTGTTAATGATCTATTCTTGAGAATATGTTCCTTTCTTGCCTCCTGAAAGAAGACATTATTTTGGACACAGTTGAATTCTAGGTGGTTGTGATGAGTCCAGGAAAATGAGAGATTAAAGTCACCCTGCATTTTATGCTGTGATGGTATTATCACTCTTTGAGCTTGGATTCTTGTCACTTACTGATGTTTCTCCTTAGACAGGGGTGGCCAATTGACCATGTGAGCCACAATGAGGTTTCACTGTGACCATATCATCCCAGACCAAAAACCTTGTGACCTGGTTGAGGACACAGCACTTTGGCTAGGCTATTGTTGATTTTAGAGGCAGGACATATGCTAGCCAATATAAAATGCCCTGAGGACTGGGAATGAATAACCAAGGAAATGGGCTTGACTGATAGAGGGGTTCAAGTGCAAAGTGGACTTACAAACTGTTGCTGGCCCATAGGAAGATAGAATAGCCATTCAAAGTAATTGTTGGAAAAAGTTCTGAGCTTTCTGACGTTGTAATGATATATCTACTGTCTTTTATAAAAATATAAATCCATAACTACTCCTTTATTATAGTTTGAGAAACACTGACCTGAACTAGTTTTAGACAGAATATTTCTTCAAATATTAATAATAAAACTTAGTCTGCTTTTGTCCCCTTTATTGAAACAGTGGATTTTTACCTTAGCCTTCTTTGCTTTTTTAATATGAAAAAAAAAAGTTTAACTAGTATGAATATTCTTGATCTTTATAGGATTCTTGAATCTTTGTTGATTACCTCTGTTGTGATACTAAAGCTTTGAGTATTTTGATAACTGTTTTTTCAGAACTCCTGTAGAAGTAGTATGTTTCTCTTGCTTATTCCTTGGGGATGATTCGTGGTTTTCACTGAGTAAAAAAATTCTTCTGCACCTCTATCTCCTTGGGTGCTAATGAAGACAGGTATATCAAACTAGTGGTAGTGTCAGAAAACTGTAGTAGATTTAGAAACTTCTGGAAAGATTGCTTAAGGTTTCCAGAATTCAAGGAAAAGACAGTTTTTTGTATTTGTTTTTTTTTTTCCTGAAGCAGTAACCCAAAAAAATCCAGTCCTGAAATCTTGAAAGATTAAGGATTCCTATGGATTAAGAGAAAGCTTTGGATACTAAGAGAACAGGCAGACATTTATTTCTGCAATTCAAGAAATTGTAAGAACTTTGATGGCTCTTTAGAAAGAGAAGTGGGCCTTTATCCCCTGGAGGGAATTCTGAGTTTAGGGACATTTCTGGCTTGGTTAATAGAGTTCAAGGCACTTTGGACTCTGGCCTTGAAACAGGGGTAAAGGAAAGAACTTAACATTTGGTGACTCAAGAGTTCAAGTTTCAGCACTCGCCTCTACAGTCAAAGTTTTCCTAAAATGAGGATATAACAGATTTATAATCCTGGCTGCAGATGTAGATGATGAGTAGTGTCCAGGGAGAAGTGCTGAAAGAATCCAAAGTTCAGGGGTTCCCATGAGTCACTGTCTAAGCCTGACAGAAGTCAGATGGCGAGGACTACACACCCAGAGGCATAGTTGGGGCAAGTCACTTCAAGTCTTAGCCAACTTCAGGGGAAATAGATAGGAAAGATAAGCCAAGTTGAAAAGGGCTATCTAGTTAGATATAAGATCACAAAGAATATATGCAAGGGTTCTTAGAACATATAACATATGGAATTCTTTATTAAAGCATTAAAGAGTATTTTAATAAAAGAAAAAATAAAGTGATAATAGCTAGTACTAATATAGTGCTTCCTACATATCAGACACCCTTCTTGGAAGCATTTAGGGTTACAAACTTGTTCAGGACTTATACAGAGTAAATACAGAGACAGAAAATTTGAACCCAGGCAATGTGGGTACAGAGTCTGACATTTGAAACACCATGCCATAAAGGCATTCGATTCAGTCCTTTGTCCTTTCATTCTTAACTGCTGTAGTTCCTCATTTATTTAAAGTGACAAAACTTTAGTTTGTTTTATGCTAGCCTGTTTATACGTAGTGTTATTTTTCCTTGTACTTTTTGCTTTCTCAGGTTGTCAATTTTCCATCTTGGAGGAATACGTAAGGGGAGTGTAAAGAGAGAGAGAGAGTGGCCGCATGTCCTTCAGTAGCCTTTTCCAAATTATGCTAGTTGAAGAGAGAGGTGTGTTGTATTGGTACTTACTAGCCAAAATAATAATAATAATAATAATAATAGTAACAATGATAAACAGCAGTGATCACTTTTTTGTAGTCTGGTATTATGCAGTACACATAGACATAGTGAAATTGAAAAATCATCTTCCCCTCTCTTCACTCACTTAGTAATGAAGATTACCTGAATCTGTGAATGTGGTCCGAAACACTAATAAATTTCTATTAAAAAACAAAGGTTGATTTGATAATTGGGAGCCAATTGTTTTCAATTAAAACTGCAATAAGAAATTTTAGTTTCCGTTATATTCCAAAAAACACTGATTTATATATTTATAATTTAGTTATCAGCTTGCCTGCCCTCTCTATCTAAAAACTCCAAAAATGCATTATAATGAATACATCATTTCAAGCTGCACCTGCTTTTAAATCTGTATTTGCTCTTGCTCAATGCCCAAATGGATAAATAAAATGATAGCTTTTGTTTGGCTTTATTATAAAGTCCAAATGTATATTTTATGTAAAAAAAGGCAAGACCTAAGTCTCGTGGCTGTTCTATAGTGGATTTTCATAAGAAGTATATATTCTTTTACCAGATTGCAGCCGGAGAGAGGATTCCTCTGAGCCAGGATGAAATAACTTTGCAGGGCCATGCCTTCGAAGCTCGAATATATGCAGAAGATCCTGACAATAACTTCATGCCAGGGGCTGGACCATTAGTGCATCTCTCTACTCCTCCAGCAGACCTTTCCACGAGGATTGAAACTGGAGTACGGCAAGGTACAGTGAAGGAGAACAAAAAGTCCCAGTCCTTTTGAATTTTGAGTGTATTCTTATTTTAAGGCAGAGTCTTTCCTGTGTCTGTGGTAATGTCAAGTTTGTTTTAACATAAAGGCTTTAATTGATTTCTCGGTCACTTTTCTGGACTTTTTTTTTTTTTAAATAGCTTTAATTTTAAACAATATGCTCTTGATTGAATGCAGTGGTACTGGTCAAACCTAAAGAAAACATTTCATGTGTATTGTTTTATATTTTTATTTTGCCTGGTTGAAAATGATTTAAACTGACTGATATCTGCTATACCCAGACATTTTGCCTACAAGGAACTTAAAAGTCAAAATAGAGAATTAGACATAAACGTAGTACAGAATAACCTATAATAAAATAAACAAAAGTTGGGCCCTCCCTTGTGGTGCAGGGGGTTAAAGTGCAGCACTATGAAGCTATTGGCAGCCACTGCAGCATGAATTCAGTCCCCGACCAGGGAGGTGACCCACATGGCACAACAGATCTCTCTTGTCTCACTGCTCCCCTCACCTCTGCATCTCTGGACTGTACCCCAGTTCTTATATAAATAAATAAATCTTTAAAAAAGAAAAAGAAAGCAAAAGTTTAAAAAACCAAACAAAAAACCACCAAAACTGTAGAAGAGCTATCACAGTTTAACATATGATTAATAACAGTAGTCATAACACATAACCCCACTTACTATATACAGGCACTTTTCTAGTTGTGTTGTATTTAGATGGACTCCTTTAACCCTGAGAACTACCATTATGTAAGTTCCAGGTGTACATATTATGTATGTATTTCATCATGACTCTCATCAAAAGTCTTATTTCTAACCACCATCATAGAACTTACTCCTTTTGCCTATTATACCCAGTCTGTAACTCCCTTCCCTTCTGGTAACAACCTGTCTGTTCTTTGTATTTATGTACTTGCTTATTTTTTCATTTGCTTTGCTTCTTTATATTCTATGTGTGAAATCATATGTTATTTGTCTTTCTCAATCTGAATTATTTCATTTAGCTTACTGTCTTCAAGTTTCATCCATGTTGTCACAAATGGCAAGGATTCATCTTTTCTTTAAATAGTAAAGTAGCATTCCACTCTGTATGTATAATGTGTCTTTTCTCTCCCTTCATCTATTCCAAGACACTTAGATTATTCACATATCTCAGTTATTGTAAATGATTGTGTAATGAAAACAGGGGTACAAGTATATTTTCAAATTAGCGTTTTCATGTTCTTAGATAAATAGCCAGAGGTGGAAGAGTTAAGTCATATGGTATTTCTATTCCTATTTTTTAAATTTTATTTTGTATATATATTTTATATCATTCTCCCTTTTATTTTTAATTTTTTAAGGAAACTCCAAACTATTTTCCACAGTAGTTATACCAATTTGCATTCCCACCGGCAGTATATAAAGGTTCCCATTTCTCTGCATTCTTGTCAACTCTTGTTTATCTTTCCATAATGGCCATTCTAACAGGTTTTACCACCCCAATTTTTGATGAGGAAGATAGGGCCCAGAGAAGTTAAGTGACTTGGCCAAGGTTATCCTTGAAACCAAGATTTAGATCAAGGCAGTCTGGCTCCAAATTCAAAGCTCTATACTACCTATCTGCTGCCATTTAACTTTAGTTGCCAGAGAAATTATACAGGTAGTGAGTGATGGGAATATAGCAGTTCTCAGAAATAAGAGGTTATGTTGGGCTCCTATATAAGGAGACAGTTTTAAAGGGAAATACTGTTAATGCTGGCATTTTGAGAGTTCTTGCTAAATCATAACAAGATTCAGTAGACAGTGAACTTTTGGTGTAATAAATAGCAGGAGATCTTAGAGAGAAAAGAGGGTATTTGTAATAGAAAAGAATACTCTGTAGGGCAAGCAAAACTTTCAGTGTAACAAAAAATTACTCAAAGGAAAATAGAGACAATCCCAAGGGCTCCCAGATTCACGTCTTGATACTAGGAAGGATAATCTAGTCCATGAAACTTCCCCCAACCCTCCTCATTTGGGTTTCCTGAGTCCTGTGCATTCCTCAAGTATTGTACTTGTTATATTATCTTATGGTAGACTTTTCCTCCTTATCTAGTTTCTCCATCAGATTGTAAGATTATTAAGAGAGTGACTCTGTCTTCCAAGTTATATTTGCAGCACCTTACCCAAGCCCAATACTAGAATGTGTATCATATTTTGTTACTGAGTTGGGGGGTAAAAAGGTTGGGGATAATGTATAGGTGAATGGATGAACACAAGTATCAGATGCCTTGATTTTAATAGAAAACCCTGAGATTCGAAGAGGTCCAGTAGTCTACCAAAATAGCAAAAAGCTCCCAGAATCATATTCTTTATAATATACTACAACCCTTTTTACTTGAATCATTCCTAACCATGAGATATGCCTAGTTCACTGAGACTATGGTATTAATGCCAGCTGTCATTTGTTTGTTGACTGCCATGTATAGTATTTGACACTTTACTGTCAATCCTTTCATCAACTGTACAGGATAGAGGAATGATTACCTTTACTTACTGATAAGACTGGTAATAGGAGAGGAAATCTTAGGGCAGAAATATGATGAACAAGCAGAGGAAGTTTGCAATGACTTCCAAAATGAGAATGGAATTCAGAAGAATGTGGGGTAGGAAGAACAACTCCCATATGAAATCCTGGTACTCTTGGATCACCTCATCCTCCTCGGACCTTTGTTTGTTTGTTTGTTTGTTTGTCAATCCCCATGAGCTTCAGTTCTCACGAATAAAATGGTGGTATGATATCTTTTGTGTAATGCTTTGTGAGAATTTGTGTGAAATATAAAACCCCAGGAGGATGTTTTGCTTGCCATAATCTATTCTGCTTAAATTTTGACTTTGGTTGCTGTGATTTTTCAATTTTAGGAGATGAAGTTTCAGTGCACTATGACCCCATGATTGCCAAGCTGGTTGTATGGGCTGCAGACCGCCAGGCAGCCTTGACAAAACTGAGATACAGCCTCCGGCAGTACCACGTGAGTGATTTGGGGTCACCTCAGTGACCCTGATGCTCTCTTTATCTCCATAGCCAAGCATATCCGCTACTCTTGGGCATTTTTTGTCTTTATCAACTTGTCTCCACCAATTGCCCATTGGTCTGTCACAAAGAACATTATTTAACATGGGAAAATTTTCCATCAGACAAAGTAGATTCTGAGGACTTTTGATTTTTAGATAGAAAAGAAAGATTGTAGGACTAAAACTATTATTGTCAGTGTTAAATGCTTCAGTAAAATCCCATATGAAATTTCTGTTCTTTCTGCTTACAAGGCCTGCTACACAAGCTTGGACTACACTGGCATTTTTTTCTCCGAAGAAAAATACATGTGTTTAGTTTCATCCTTTTGGTAGTTTTTGCTTTTTTGGTAGCACATTAGTTCCCTTGTGCAATAAGTTCCATGCCACACTGATTTAGGCTCATAAATGAGTTTTTATTAACTTCTGATATTCAAATTGTTGTTGTGTATTACTTGATTGAGCTTCTGATCTCTGTGGTTCTAACCATACTGGTCTCCTTGCCATTGCTTAGATACACCCAGCATGGAGCCACATCTTCCCATGCTCCCTCCCAGAATGTTCTTCATCCACCTGAAGTCCCACTCCCTCCTAACCATCTTCAGTGCCTGTTCATTGCTTCAGAGTCCTTCCCAAGCTGCTGCTTTTAAAGTGGGACCCTTTGCTGTTCTCTAGCCCTTGAGCCTTTATCTTCTTCCTAGCATTTGATTTATATTAGATACTTCTTTCTAGGTATTGTTTGTTATCTGTCCCTAGACTGTAAGTTCTGTGAGGACAGGGACTTCTATTTTCTTTCTTAGTGTGTCCTTAATACCTGAATCAGTGTCTAAAAGGTGCTTAGTAACTGATTGCTAAATCAATGAGTGAGTGAGTGAATATATCATCCCATGGCTCAGGCAGTCAGTTTATCCTTGACCCCAAAGATCAAGGATAGGTTTGGGTTGATTTTATTTATTGGGTAGGTTTGGGCTGATTTTAAACCTTTTTAATTTTGTTATCAATGTGTACAATGTGGATTTTCAGAGTCACTTAATCTTGTCCCCTTCCTGGGTTAGCAGTCCTGCCCTAGTTTCTATGTTGTAGGCATGTTCTAAGCAGCAGGTCTTCAAAATTGTGCAAACAAATCTCATTTACTTTTCATAACATTTATTGTTTTCCTAACTTGTATAATCAAAAGCCTTCATATTATATATTCTAACACCTTTTTTTGTGTTCCGGTAATTTTAAATCCAGATAAGCTTGTGTGTGTGTGTGTTGTCCTATCACTGGGAGTTGTCCTATCACTACATGATACCTTAGGAGGTTTTTTATTTTTTTCTGAGAGTTGTCGAGAGTAGAAAATACTTAGTTGAAAGAGCAGGTGCCCATTGTGATGTTTTTCTGATTAGGTTGTTTTTCCTACTCCTTGGGATGTGGGTTTTATTCTCTTCCTAGATTGTTGGACTGCACACCAATATTGACTTCCTGCTCAGCCTGGCTGGCCACCCAGAGTTTGAAGCTGGAAATGTGCACACTGATTTCATCCCTCAACACCGAGAAGCACTGTTGCCTAGCCGGAAGGCCACAGACAAAGAGCTTTTATGCCAGGCAGCGCTGGGTCTCATCCTCAAGGAGAAGGCCATGTCTGATGCTTTCAGAATTCAGACACAAGGTATGGAATGATTTTTTTTCTTTACTCTGCTTGTCAAGATTTTATGACTAAACCTCGGACATGCTTGTCTCTATGACACTCTTGCCTTCTTTTTCTTCTCAGCAATTATTGACACCATCCTTGGCTATGTTTGTTGTATGTTTTGGTTTTGTTTTTACTTTTAGCAGGGAATAGAGCTTTTCACATGTCATAAACAATTTTTAACCTATTAAGCATAACTTGACTAATCACCTAACAATGTGGAAGTGATTCTGTTCTCAGTCAAGCTCTGATTCTTCCCAAATCCTAAGTGACCCCCCTTCCAGGTTATTTTATTAGTCATTCCTTGTGCCCTGCTTTGTTGTATCTTTGCACCTGCAGCAACTTCCATTATCCTGGTGACTAAAGACACATTCTCCAATTCTCTTGGGTTTCCCATGATTTATTGTTGAGATACTTTCTTTCACCTTTTCCATTATATGATCTAAGTACTGACCACCTAGAGACCGTCATCCTCTTCCTTTATGGTATAGGTTGCCAGTCTAGGAAGGATGATGGTAGAGATCTTCCTGGAGGCCACATGCCTGTGTGCCTGCTTCAGCATCCTACTATGTTTTGCCCAGCCTCTTTCCAGCAACTTAGGAAATTTGAAATTCATTAACTTTTTGTAGTTTCCCTCGGGGCACAAGGGGTTAAAGCAAAGTACTTTTGGCAGCCACTGAAGCATGAGTTTGATCCTTGGCCAGGGAGCTGACCCACCTGGCCCAGCAGACCTCTCCTGACCCGCCCACTGCTCCCCTCAGCAGTGTATTTTGGTAGATCTACCTGTTCTGTTCCCCACTTTGGTGAATCCTTTTACCCCCTGCTCCTTTGTACCTCTAGCCTGCACCCCAGCTCTTGTATGTATAAATAAATCTTTAAATAAAAAGGAAGGAGAGGGGAGGGGAAGAGAGGGGAGGGATGGAGAGGGGAGTAGGAAAGAAAGAGAGAGAAAGAGAGAAGAAAGAAAACTGTTCCCTCTAAATTGAGCACTCCCAAACTATCTCCATGCTACTTATTCAGCCTAACACTGACATTTGTTCAGCCTAACACTGACATTTGGAATAGAGAAAAAAATTGAATCCATTTACTCTCTTCATTATTATTAGGACTACTATATTATTATAGGGTATTATTTAATTTCTGGATTCAGTCAAGAAAGTTAGATTAAAAGCATAAGATGTATAAGTACATCTTTAGGAGATTTGTATTCTGTTTTTGCTTTGTCCTTTTACATTAAATGAAATGTATCAAAATGTGCCCAATATGATTTTCCTAAGTCTAAACTTAGTTTTTGGAAGGCATTGTCCATTTACTCTCCTTTTAATTTCTTCTAAGGTTTTTGTTTGTTTGTTTTTTAATAGAATAACTGGGATATAAGCTAGAGGTGAGAGGGAGGGGCAGGAAATTGAGAAAATTCACCAGAGACAGAGTGGGGAGCAGAACAGGCAGATCAACTAAAATACACTGCTGAGGGGAGCATAGGGGAGACAGGTAAGGTCGGCTGTGCCATGTGGGTTAGCTCCCTGGCTGGGATGGAACTTTAGTTGTGATGGTGCTAAAACTTAACCTCTAGGCCACCAAGGAGGTCCTACTCTCCTTTTTTTTTTAATTTAGATTTATGACTAGCACAGATACTGACTTCAGAATACATTTCTTCTATTAGCTATGCTGTAGCTTCTGAATATCGTGCAACAGAGGTGTACACTCAGACTGCTAACATAGAAGCATTAAAAAGGCCAGGTGACACATCTTAAAACAACCAACAACAAATGTTGGTGAGGATGTGGAGAAAAGGAACTCTCCTGCACTGCTGGTGGGAATGCAAACTAGTACAACCACTATGGAAAACTGTTTGGAGGTTTCTCAACTGCTAAAAATGGAGCTTCTATATGACCCAGCAATCCCACTCCTAGGTATCTACCCAAAAGACACAAAAACACTGATTCAAAAAGACACCTGCACCCCCATGTTTATTGCTGCTTTATTTAGAATAGAAAAGACATGGAATCAACCCAAATGCTCAAAAGTAGATGGCTGGATTAAAAAAATGCGGTACATATATACAGTGGTTTATTACTCAGGAATCAAAAAAGATTAACACGTGCCTTTTGCAGCAACATGGATGGAGCTGGAAAAGATCATGCTCAATGAAGTAAGCCCAGAAAGAAAAGGAAAAATACCAGATGGTTTCACTCATAGCAAGACCTGGGAGGAAGGAAATAATAATGATGATGAACAACTATATACTAGAGACATTTTACAGGGGTTGGAGTGGGGAATGGTATAAAAATGGGTGCGATTGGGGGGTGCATGGGACTATGGTGATACCACATGAATGAATTGGTGATGCGAAGTCCACAGGGATTACAACTGATGAAAAAAGGCACAAAATGATGTAAAAATAATAAATATATATTTATTATTAAATAATATATTTATTTAAATATATATTATAATAAATATTTAAAAAGGCCAAATGAAAGAAAATAGTGAGTGGTAGAGACTCTGGCCACATGGAATACATCTGTGCTATCATAAAGGAATGAGCACTGCAGTGAAGCCACCAGGATGAGAGTGTTCTCTGCAAATATTCTGATTTTTCTAGAAAAGCTGGAGCTTTTCATATGAAATTCCCCAGGATATAAATGTAAATCACATTTCCTTAACTGTCTGGAAGTAAATATTCCCATTTGGTATGATTTGATAAGTTACTGCAGGAGGTTGGGGGTAGTCTGAGGAATCCTGTTACTATTAACTTATAAAGGAAATATTTTGAACGTTCCCAGACCCCAAAAAATCATCTACCATTTCATACCAAATAGGAATGTTTTACTTTGGAATAGTGGTGGAAACCTGTATCTAATAAAATTTAAAACAATTAAAGAAAACACATTTGAGCTGTGTTTTATAATTTCTTTTGTAAGGCATAAATTCTGTAGGCTTCATGTTCATAAATTTGTTGTTGATGAATTTTAATTTTTTTTAGACCAGTACTCTCCATTTGCATTCAGCAGTGGAAGAAGACTGAATAACTGTTATACCAGAAACATGACGCTTAGGGATGGTAAAAACAGTAAGTAATATTTTCTTGAAAGAGAATGTAATTCAGTTCACATTTACATGAAAATATATCAAATTTACATGGGAAAAAAAGAATTCAATCTGGTCACTATCAGTCAATTACATAAACAAAAAAAAAAAACACCCAAAACTTCTAGCCTGAAGATTGAGAAGAGGCATGTCAAAAAAATAGAATTGATTGGCTCTGTGAGGGAGAGTTATGGTATTTTTCTTCTTTCCACTTTTTTCTATATTTTATAGGCTGAAAAATATGTCACAAAACATAAATAGCAAAACAACTGAAATAAAGTATACCAAAATGTTAGTGAGGTTATCAAGGAGGCAATGTTTATTCTCTGCATCTTTGTACTTTGCTTTGCAATTTCTCTTCAGTAGGAATATTTTACTATTGAATAAGAAAAACAGTACGCTGCTCAGGCAGTGTTTCAGGTGAAATGGGCCACTGAAGAGCTGTGATTCACCAAGGGCCTTATCAACATGTAAATTTTTGGCTTTTCAACAATTTGTAGGGATGGGAGTGGGGAAGTCAGAGGTACAAAAGGTGAAGTAACTTACTCAAGGCTAGTAAGTAGCAGTTTTATGACCTTGACTCTGTGCTATTTCTACCACTTTTCCAGTGCAAATTGATTTTTGATGGCACACAAATTTGGGTAGACTCCAGAGTGGGGACTGATTTATTGTAATTGAAGTCAGGAGAGGCTGATATCCAAGCCAGAGGCAGCTTAGAAATTTATGGCTGTGACAGTGTAGCAGAGAGGTCAGAATCCTTGATAGCTGGTGACCGTATGTATCCCTTCTGCTGTAGGACATTGCATGGGAAATCAGATGAGCATGGAGTCAGAGCCAGGAGGGTTGGATAACCTTGACAGTGTCTTTGGACTGTGATGGCACCATTGTGAAAATGTACCTTCCAGCTAGAACAGAATCTTCCTGCAGCTCAAGGCTGCTTCCTGCTTCCTCTGGAAAGAGTAGGTTCTTTTTCACCCCACTCCACAAAGACATTATCTCAATGCCGTTTCATAGAAGTTGATAGGGAGTGATGCTGCTCTTATTTCTTCATCCTGAGCCTACATGGCCATTATTTTATGTATACTAGGTACATCTCTAAGTGTGCAACGATTCTTTGATACAGCAGCACTCTGCAAATGATAATCTTCATTTTTTCTGGTGTGTTTATTCATCCCATCATAAAAAGCAGCCTTCAGACTCAGAGAGGATGTCATTCTCTAGACTACTCCTATATACTGAATACAAATATCAGCAACAGTAACATTTCAGTGGCTTCTTTAACCTTAATTAAATAGAAAAACCATTTGTAATTAAAATTCAGATGAGCCAACTGTGTCATTTGGCATGGGATTTCACCAAGGCACTAAGTACTTTGAATTATACTGTATATCTTAGCTTTTTTTAAATTAAAAAATTAGGGTTCAAAAGCCAACAGGATTACTATTCACTATGCCCTTTTGGCATTATTCTCAAAAATGATAAAGTGTTTCAGAAACGTGGTGAGCCTCCAATTAAAATTATTCAGCAGTGGTGGTGGCATCATACAGGAGGCTTAAGCCCTCAGAGTGTTTATGAATCTAAATATGGAAAAATATTCAACTTTGTTAGTAATGACCATGTTTACAGAACCCTGCCCCACCCTCAAAAGCAGTAATAATAGCTGAGGTTTACTGAGTGTTTGATATATGTCAGATATTGTGTCCAGTACTTCATGGATTACTTCATTTGTATTTTCAGGACAATGAGTCAGTATGCTGTCAACTTTATTAATTTATATAATTTAAGACTTATATGAGAAATTATTAATTTTCTTAAGCTCATTCCCAAGTAATTGATGGAGCCAAAATTGGAAACTACCCTCCAGGGTACTTGTCCTTACGTAACTCAGCAACTTGCTAAACTCCCATAGCTTGTTAAATATGTGAAAAGGTTTAAGTCTTGCAGAGGAGGGAAGAATAAGTTCATTTCTCCTATAATATATAAATGTTTAGAGTTTTCCTGCAAGTAGCTTTATTATAATTCTGTTGGCCTTCATGTCAGCTAAATATGCAATTAGATGCTTTCTCTTTTCTAAGGAGTAAAGCTATTGACAAATTTTATTCATTGAGACATCCAGTGTAGATTTTTCTAAAGAATAGATACTCTGGTGCGCCCCTTGGTGGTGCAGTGGGTTAGGATGCAGCACTGCAAGCTGGCCACAGCCACTTCAGTGCGAGTTCAATTCTGGGCCCTAGAGCTGATCGACATGGTGTGGCAGACCTCTCCTGGCCCGCCTGCTGCTCCCCTCAGCAGTGTACTTCGTCAGTCTGCCTTCGTCAGTCTGCCTTCGTCAGTCTGCCTGTTCTGCTCCCCGCTCTGTCTCTCTGAATCCTCTCACCGCCCCATACTTCTGGCTTGTGCTCCAGCTCTGTGTGCATAAATAAGTCTTTAAAAGAAAAAGAAAAGAAAAAGGATACTCTGAGTGATATAAAGAATATTATAAAGGATGTCTTTGTTCCTATTTTTTCCCATTAAACATATTTACCATTTGTCGAAAAAAGTGTTGGGAAGTGGTTGGCATGGGTAAAAGGGTTTGAATTCTGACTCCTTGGGCAAATCACATATATCCTCTAAGGCCTCAGTCATAAATGGGGGTGGGAGTGCTCATTACTTTTGTGGGTTGTTGTGGCTATTAAATGAGATGATACACGTAAAGCATTTAGTTCCTGTACTTATTGACTTCATATAGCAGTCAATAAATATTAACGGTCATCATCACTAAACTGTCCCCTTGCAATTATTGAAGAGCAGAGTAGATATGTATGTCACATGTTAATTTAAAAGCTGGCTATAAAACAATATGGATAACTATCCAGTTTTTACAGAAGAAAAATATGCACATTTGCAAGATCTGAGAAGAGTCACACGTTAAGGTGTTAGTAGTAGTCATATCTTGCTTTGAAAGAGGAATCACTTTTTACTTTCTATACATTAACATTGGGCTTTGGTGAACAATTTTATATTTTGCAATTATATAAAACAACTATTGAGTAGAAAAATCATTTTAGCATACAACTGAATGAGGAAGGTTACTGCTGAACACTGATCTGAGCTGGCACCATCAAATGATGGCTGACATCACGTAGAGGAAATAACTTTGTCTACATTCTCTAGCCCATAAAACTTCTGATTTCAAAAAAAAGATAAACACATGCCTTTTGCAGCAACATGGATGGACTGGAAGGGTTCATATTTAGTGAAATAAGCCAGAAAGAAAAAGAAAAATACTGGATGGTTTCACTCATAGCAGGAGCATAAAGGAATGGGGGGCAGGGGGAAATAATAATGAACAACTATATATCAGAGATATTTTACGGGGGTGGAGTGGGGAATGGAATCAAAAGGGGGGAGGTGAGTGCACAGGACTATGGTGATGGGACACAGGTGATTTGGTGATGGGAAATCCACAGGGATTACAACTGAGATTACAAAATGATGTAAAAATAAACTATTATAATAAAACAAATTAATAAAATTTTAAAAATCTTTTGATTTCTACCTCTTAGAATAGTCTTCAATCAATTCCGTGTTCATATGAATGTTGTATATTGTATTTATATGATTTGTTGCTATTTATAAGGCACCTTCACATTTATTTGATCATTATTACTTTCATATACCCATTGAATGGGTCAAACTGGATCAGCAAATTCAGACACAGAAATTTTAAATCAAGATAAGAGGTGAGCATGCCGTATGTACGGCAGATTTGGCTCTTAAACCAGAACGTCTCCTTTCCAGTGCACTGCATTTTCTACTATAGCCTCTTCGTGAAAGCAAAATATCTAAAATATTCTACAGTCTGAAAAGAACTAAAGCTCCATATGTCCAGAAAGAAAAACTTGAAACTCACCATTATTGAAATCCTCCTGTTAGATACATGTATATTTTTAAAATTTTCACTACCACAGTGCTGAAAGATGCCTGATATCTCTTAACAATTAGATTCAAAGTGAGATTTGTGGTATCTCAATTACTGATCAATGCTTCTAATTTTTCTTCAATTTTCCCTTTTTCCCATACAGATGTAGCCATAGCTGTAACATACAATCGTGATGGGTCCTACAGCATGCAGGTAAGCCTAATTGGTTTTGTTGGACAGGCCAGAGCTAACGCTAATCTCTCAGGTTGAACACTGTATTTATTACTCTCTAGTTTCTTTTAAACCACTGATTATTATGGTTGTAACTAGGAGAATGTCAGGAACTTTTATTTCAGAGCAATATGGGAACATTGACCTCTACACAGTTTCTGATTGTTTATTCCGTTTGTGTTCTCTTAAGAATAAAAACTTGACCAAAAAAATCTAGCTTTGAGTCAGACACCTGACATGTTAAGTGCATATATTTGCATTTGAAACAGCTATTTTAAAATTTTGGTTTCAGGAAACTTGCACACTCTTAAAAATTACTGTGACTTTCCCAAAGAACTTTTGTTTGTATGTTGCATCTTATTTACTGTTTAGAAAAATTAAACTGAAAATGTGTAAATCTTATTATTGTGTTAACACATATGTTTTCAAATATACACCACACAAAATTTACCATTTTAACCATTTTAAATGTACAATTCAGCACTTAGTACATTCACATGATTGTTGGGACAACCATCACCTCTATCCATCTCCAGAACGTTTTTCCTTTCACAAAACTAAAAATATTTTAAACAAATGACATCTCAGCCTTCACAATCCCCTCTGCTTTCTGTGTCTATGAATTTGACTGTTTTAAGTACTTCATGTAAGTGAAGTCATTAGTATCTGTCCTTTTGTGATTGCCTTATTTCCCTTGGCACAATGCCTTTAAGGTTCACCCATGTTGTACCCATGTGTCCAATTGTCCATCCTTTTAAAGACTGAATAGTATCCCATTGTTTGTATTTTCTATACTCTATTTATTCATGTATCTATTGCTGGGTGTTTGAGTTACTTCCATCTTTTGGCTATTGTGAATAAAGATGTTATGAAGATATCTCTTGAAGACCCCTTTCAATTCTTTGTTTTCCCCTATCAGTATACCACATCTTTCCTAACACTTATTTTCTGTTGTTTTATCTGCTTTGGAGAAATATCTATTTAGGTACTCTTTTTTTTTTTTTTAAACAGAATTGTTTATTTTCTGTTTTTGAGTTATAGGGTAAAGTGAGAAAAGCTAAATACCTAAAATTAGATGAGCACATGTGTAATTAACTGCCAGAGCAATAGCATTATCACATGTCCTGCAGAGAAAGAGCGAAGGTAAAAAGGAAAAGTAACATTAGAATTATTAGGAAGAAGTTTGAAGGAGTGAAATCACTAAAAATCTTGGAGACCCAAAGAGACTCACAAATCATGCTTTGAGAATCTCTAGTCAAAAGTGATAGTTCTCAGTGAAAAGAAATACATTACCCTGCAAATGCAATGCTAAAAAGGCTTTAAAACAATGTGGTAATTTCAAATCTTATTGTAGGGCACAAATTCAGAATAGAATAAATTTATTTTAGTATGATTTAAGTGATTTCAATTAACTTATCATTGATACACTTTAGATCTCCCAACATCCAACACTTTAATATATATTGGGTTTTTTTTTTCCTTTTTCTTGGGTATATCCAAAAAGTTCAGTTTTATTAGAGGAAAGGAAGAAGACACTTGCATAGACATAAGCCCACATTGGTTTTCTTTCTCTGAAATTGAGAAATATTTTGGGAAGTTTTACCTACTGTAGTGTAAGTAAGTGTACCTACTGTAGTGTAATTCATAATGTTCCCTTCTGTTCCTTGGTAAATAGTAAAGTAAATTGCAAATTTGTTCTAATGTGCAATGGAACTATATTAACAAATTTAGAATGTGTTTTTGTAAATCTTCAAACAAAACTATTCCCAGTGTGACCTTTATGCCCCAAGAATTCCACAAACATTCAAATGGCTTTTTAGTAGGTTACAAAGCAGAGTAAAATGTCATATTTAACTTAGAGTAGATGAGAACCAACAGCAGTGTTGGTTACACAATATAGTTGAAAATAAAGCCAGAGGACTTTCACACTAATATCAAGAGAATTGAAATGAAAAAGAGAGAGACAAAACTTAAGTGGATTTTCTGTGTGTAAGAAAAATGTTTTCTTCAGCATATATGTGAGGAAACATTCTTTGGAACAGAAAGGCTGCTTTGGAATAAATTTAAAGAAGTGAAAGACTGTATACAGAAAAGACACTTGAAAGAAATAGAATACACAAAGAGATAGAAAAGAAAGGTATTCCATGTTCCTGATAGATGGAGGAACTAGCATTGTTAAAATGGCTCTATTATCTAAAGCAGATTGAATGCAATCCCTATCAAAATTCTGGAAGTATTCTTCACTTAAAAAAAAAAAAATCAGGACATTTACTTGGAAATAAACAACTATAATAGCAAAGACTCCTTTACAAAGAAAATATCAGGCCCTCCCTGTTGGCACAATGGGTTAGGACACAGCACTGCAAGGGAGCCGCAGTCGCTTCAGTGCAAGTTCGATCCCCTGCCCTGGAGGTGATCCACATGGCAGACAGTCCTCTCCTGACTTGCCTGCTGCTCCCCACAGCAGTGCACTTTGTCAGTCTGCCTGTTCTCACCACCCCTGCACCTCTGGCTTGTACCCCAGTTCTGTATGAATAAATAAATTTTTTAAATCCATATTATCCATCAGACTAACAATAGAAATAATTTTAAAAAAGAAAATATCCTGCTCCCCAACTTTAAACTGTAGTAGAGAGCAATAGTAATCAAAACAGCTTGATGTTGGAATAAAAACAAACCCAGAGATCAATAAACAGAATTCAGAGTCCAGAAATAAAACCACACAGATATGGAGAATTAATTTACAGTAAAGGAGACAGGCACCTTCAATGGAGCGAGGAAAGTGTTAAATAACAGACTCTGGGAAACTGGACACTGCATATGAAGTATGAAACTAGACCACTATTAAACACCAATCATGAAAATTAAATTAAAAAAAAAATGAATCACAGACTTAAATGTAAGACCTGAAACCATAAAATACATAGAAGACATAGCTGTTGGATTTCTTAATATCAGCCTTAGAGAGGTATTTAGAGACACAACACTAATAGCAAGGTAAACAAAAGCAAAAGTAAACAAACAGTACTATATAAAACTAAAAACTTTCTGCACAGAAAAAAAATCTGCATCAAGACGAGAAGACATCCAATAGAATGCGGGATCTTTACACATTCAACAAGGGGCTGATATCTAAACTATACAAAGAATTTATAAAAGTCAACAGTAAAAAAGCAAACAATCTAAATTTTAAATGGACAGAGGATCTGATTTAAAGATGGTCATTGGGCACATGGAAAGCAGTTCTTCCCTTATAAGAATAACGCAAATCAAAACAACAATGAGCTTTCACCTCACACCTATGAAAACAGCTATTTTTCAAAAGAGGAAACAGGAAGTGTTGGAGAGAATGTAGAGAGAAGGGAACCTTTAAATAATATTGTTGGCGATATAAATTGCTGCAGCCATCATGGAAACAGTGTGGAAGTTCCTCAGAAAAACTAAAAATATAAATTCTATATGATCCTTTATCCCACTTCTGGCTATTTACTAGAAAAATACAAAAACACTAATTTGAAGACATATGTACCCCATGTTTTTTGCAGCACTATTTTCAGTAGCTAAGAGCTGGAAACAACATAAGTGCCCATTGACAGATAGTGGGTAAAGGTATGTTATATGGAACACTAATCCACTATTTTAAATCCATGCAGTAACATGAATCGACCTAGCAGGAATTATACTTAGTGAAATGAACCAGCAAGAGACAAATATTGTAGGATTTCACTCATGTGGTATATAGAGAAAAACAGATTTAACTAAATAAAACAAAAATAAGCTTTTGTGCTGTGAGTCCAAATAGTGGTTACCAGAAGGGAGGGGAAAGAGAATACATAAATCAGGTGAAAGGGAACAGTGGTTTGTGAAGGAAGGGTAGAATTGGTCTTTTAGTGGTAAACTTAGTGTATTATATGTGTTGATTCTCAGTGATGAACACCTGAAACTTATATAATGTTATAATGCAGTGTTATTTCAATTGGAAAGGAACAAATAGAAAGGTTTCATGTTCTTTTGTCAACTTCCTTGAAAGATTAAGTGTGAAATCTGTAATTTGGCACAGTGTTTTAGAGTGGGAAAACTGTGGTCATTCTCCAGCTAATTTTTGTAAATCATAACTAAAACCCATAAATTGGTTCTCTCTGTTGGTGAGGTTTTTTTAAAATACCATGTAATTATGGAGTTCTGCCATTTTTTTTTTAAATTACTGATGTTGGCACAGTAAAATTAAACTTGACTTTGTACTAAAAAATGAATACAAGTATGTAATCTACTCGACTGAATTTTAATTATTTTGCTTTGATTTAGTATTTCTATTTCCCCAGTGTTCTGGCTGTTCTTAAATGAACTTTTATCTGTGGCACTATGGTGCTATAGATATATTATTGAATTTTGTCTTTTAATTATCTTATTATAGCTTCCCTTTTTTCAGTATTTTTTTTTTAAGATTTATTTTATTTATTTATGCATACAAGAGCTGGGGTGTAGATCAGAGGTGCAGAGGTGAGAGGATTCACCAAGACAGAATGTGGAGCAAAACAGGCAGATCTACTGAGATACACTGCTGAGGGGAGCAGCAGGTCACAGGAAAAATCTGCTGGCCAGTGGCTCAGCTCCCAGGCCGGAACTGGTGCTGCAGGGGCTGCTGATAACTGGATAGCTTTGAGAGTTAACCCTTTGTACCATCAGGGAGGCCCTTTGGTGTTATTTTTTATTGAGGAAACACTGGCTTACAACACTATATGCCTTAGGTTTATAACTCTCCAGGTTACTTTATACACCACACTTGCCCAGTGTACCCATAGTCCATCACCCCTACCTAGTCTACCACCCAGTCCACTGGACTCACTTCCCCACACGCATCTTCCCCAGTTGGCACAGTTCTGCAGTCAGACTTCTCACTACTGATACTATGTATTTTTTTTTAACTTTTTTTTTTTTAAGATTTATTTATTTATGCATACAGAAATGGGATACAAGCCAGAGATTCAGGGGCGGTGAGAGGATTCACCAGAGACAGAGTGGGAAGCAGAACAGGCCGACTGATGAAGTACACTGCTGAAGGGAGCAGCGGGCGGGTCAGGAGAGGTCTGTGGGCCACGTGGGTCACCTCTGGTGCTGGAGAACAAAATGGCACTGAAGCAGCTGCAGCTGGCTTGCAGTGCTGCATCTTAACCAGTTGTGCCACCAGGGAGGGCCTACAGTAATTTTTTTTATAGATCTTAGGCAGAAAGTTGCTACATGGCTTTAGAAAAATTATCTATTACCTTCTGACACTATTAATAATAAAGAATGATTCTGATTTTACTAATTTTATAGGCTTTTTTTCATTTATTTTAAGAATCTTATTTTCCTGGTTTTTTTTTTTTTTTTTTTTTTTCAGATTGAAGATAAAACTTTCCAAGTCCTTGGTGATCTCTATATGGAGGATAACAGCACTTACCTGAAATGTTCTGTTAATGGAGCTGCTAGTAAAACTAAGCTAATTATCCTGGAAAACACTATTTACCTATTCTCTATGGTAATGTCTCAAAAAACAACACAGTTGGGCTTTAGGGGGAAGTTTTTTGACCAGAGGCATTTCCACTTAGAAAGATCCCATTTCCCAATCTCTGCTCTGACCTTTTGTCTCTTCTCCACTCAATTTTCTTTGCTATTTTCTTGCTCCTCTTGTTTTATATACACCCCTTTGCTCACACAATCTCACTGATGGACACATGCCTGTTTTCTTCCTTTAATTCTGAAACCTGTTCTTACACCCTTTTGTCAGTGTTTCTTCCTGCTGGGTGGGCGGTGTTCTCAGCTATTTGTTGCTTGAACACCTTCCCCAACCATCACTCTACTGGCATTGGGGACTGGGAGGCAGTGGCCATTGGCAGAGGAGTTTGGGTGGGGATATTCACTTTGTGGGGACAGCAGCAGTAGGAAGGTGGATGTGCTGTTAGTTCTGGTCTCTTGGCAGTGAGAGAGAGGTTAAGGCAACCGTCACATGGATTTAGTACAGAGTTTGTTTCCTAACCCAGTGCTTTCAGCTAGGAACCTTCTGCTCAATGAGCCACTAGCATTCTTCATGAACAAAGGAAAGAGGATATTATCAGATCTACTCTAGCTTTTTCGGCACCTTCTCAACATTTGGAAACCATCTTTTTTTAAACAAAAAAAGATTTATTTATTTGTTTATACATACAGAACTGGGGTACAGGCCAGAAGTGTGGAGCTTGAGAGGATTTACCAGAGAGCAGGGAGCAGAACAGGCAGATGGACTGAAATACACTGCTGAGGGGAGCAGCGGGTGAGGAAGGAAAGGTCTGCCACAGCATGTGGGTCACCTCCGGGGCTGGGGATCAGCTCATGCTGCAGTGGCTGTGATACCTTCATAGTGCTGTGCTTTAACCCACTGCACTACCAGGGAGGGCCCTGGAAACCGTCTTATAGATCACAGTCCTTTATGAAACACATCTGTAATATTCTAGTAATTACACTACGGTATGCGGAATCAAGGATAAGCTCACTTTCCTAGGCACTCCTTTCCAGAGGCAGTTGTGCTGTAACAATATTATGGTAGAGGTGGTAGAATAGAATGGTGAGGAGCATGAGTTCTGGAATATAAAACTGCTTTGGGTGAAATCCTGGCCCTACTACTTAGTAGGTGTACAACTGTGGGCAAGTTAACTCTGGGTTTCAGGCCCTCCCTGAATGTGCACCATTTCTCCCTTATAATGGGAAACCAAGACTGAAAAGCATTTAGTAATTTGTTCAAGGTCACAAAGCTACTTTAGAACCCTAAAATTATTAAAGATGGCTAACATTTAACATATGTCTTTAAAACAACCCTCATCATATATTAGTGAAAACACAGTGATAAGATCCTGATTTCATTTTCCATTACCTTTTTTTATAGGAAGGAAGTGTTCAGATTGACATTCCAGTCCCCAAATACTTAACTTTGGCTAGCTCAGAAGGAACGCAGGAAGGTACCTTAGCTCCAATGACAGGAACCATTGAAAAGGTAAGAATATGAATGTCTGGAACAGCATTCAGTGAGGCCCAATAAGTGTCTGTGTTGAACTTTGTCGCATATAACCTTTTTCCCTCTCTAAGTCTTGCTCATTGGAAAATAATACATTTCAGTAAACAAAAGGATGTATGATCAATTCAAGTTAAATATAATGGTATTCAGTGAAATTACTCATTTACCTAATTTACAATAAAGATTATTGATTTTGAAAGTGGGAATTTACATCAAAGGTTCACTGTTTTCTTTTCTTTTTTTTTTTTTAAGATTTATTTATTCATATAGAACTGGGGTACAGGCCAGAGAGGCGGAGGGTGAGAGGCTTCACCAGAGACAGAGTGGGGAACAGAACAGGCAGATCGACGAATTACACTGCTGAGGGGAGCAGCAGGCGGGCCAGGAGAGGTCTACCATGCCATGTGGTCACCTCTGGGGCAGGCAGGAATCGAACTCATGCGGAAGTGGCTTAAGCTTCTTAGTGCAGTGCTTTAACCTGCTGCGCCACCAGGGAGGGCCTCACTGTTTTCTTTTTATTATTAAAATGAGGCATTCACCAAGCATTATCAAGAAAGTTTATTTTTGGGTGTTTTTAATTTTTTTGAAAGTTTCTTTTTTTAAAAGATTTATTTATGCCTACAGAATTTGGGTACAGGCCAGAGGTGCAAAATTGTTGAGCGGGTTCACCAGAGACAGAATAGGGAGCAGAACAGGACGTCTGACAAAGTACACTGTTGAGGAGAGTAGCGGGAAGGACAGGAGAGGTCTGCTGTGGGTCACCTTTGGGGTGGGGATCGAACTCATGCTGAAGTGGCTTTAGCTTCTTAGCGCTGTGCTTTACCCTGCTGTGCTACCAAGGAGGGCCCTTGAAAGCTTATTTTTTAATGTTAAACTTAAACAATTTTCTCATAAAACAGCAACATTTTCTCCAATGTACATAATTGTATCTATGTCAAAATAAAGTTTGAAAGGCAATATTGATAAAGAACAATATGGTTTGGTGCTGAATGCAGTGCATATCAGAGCTGAGATCTAGACTGACAGCTGCAAATGGTGATGGAATGGACAAGTAGGCTCCTTTTATATGTTTGTGTGTAGTAATGTCATCTCAAATTAATTTCAGTCTTAAAATATCAGTTCTCTATTTTCAGCACCCAAAAAAGGGCAGAAGAAAATAAGTTGTATAAGTAATTTCACCCAGTATTACACCTTTGAAATGTTTGCCCCATGGGGTGTATGAGCTAGAGACTAGGAGACCTCCATCAGCCTTTAGCTCAGTCAGCCTAAGTTTCTCTGGACGTCTCATAATATGGAAATCCCTGCAAAGGCTCTTATACTTAATGATGGACATTTTCCCCATAAGAATCCCCAAAACCCAAACCATTGAGTTCATAAGGCACTACTAAATTATCACCTAGGGTTGATAATTTTTCAGAGATATTTCTAAAGTTTTTCACAGTTTTAACTCTACACGTTGACTTTAGAACCTGACTCCACTGTATGATGTTTAAAAAAACTCCCTGATATCCCTGTTAAGCAAGAAGATGCTGAAAACTTATAGGATATATAAATCCATTTATACATAAAATGGAAAAATAGAGATTCTTTTTCCTGAGGTTGACAGTCAAGTTTCTTTTATATGACATCAACTGTAATTTTACTACAGACTGTGAAGACTTGAAACACTATCCTAGGCCATGTAAAAACTAAAAAACCAGACAAGCCTACTATCCGAACACTGGTGAAAATATTTTTGTAGTTCTTCTGTGAAGGTGGCATGTCTTATCTGTACTTTCATGAGGGAAAAGAAGATCCTGAGATACATAAAGCATATTCATCTGAGTCAAGCAAATCTATATGGTTTGGGGATAGGGATGGGGAAGCTAAGCAGAGCCTCTACTGCCCTCCCTCCCCCCACTGTCAACAGAGCCTACAGTGCTAGATTAACCTGGGGGCCTCCAGTTTGTACCAATACATTTACCTTTGGCAGCAACCACATGTAAGCTCTTACATTTATATATCAACTTTGTGAACCATGAGGACCTTGTGTTTTCCAATATTAACCTGTCACTCTGAATTTCTAGGTGTTTGTAAAAGCTGGAGACAGAGTAAAAGCTGGAGATTCTCTAATGGTTATGATCGCCATGAAAATGGAGGTAAGTGAAATGACAGATAAACTTTGGGAGCTATCAAACCTAATTGTTAAGTTAGTACCATTTAAAAAATTAAGAGCCATAGATTGATCAGGCATTAATGTTAGGAAATAAAACCAAACTTCTCTTAAAATACGTTTTCACTTTAAGGGAATACAGTTTCATCAAATGACAGAAACCTGTCATTTCTGTTACAGCAATTAAAGAAATCATCAATAGCTTAGATTGAGGCATTATCCCAACTCAATGCTAACTACTAGTATTTTTTGATATTTACTTAGGATGCTACATATTCCTTGGAGAGATTGTTGTTGTTTTTATTTAAAGGCTTATTTACTTATGCATAGAAGAACTGGGGTGTAGATCAGAGGTACAGGGGGTGAGAGGATTCAGAATAGGGAATGAAACAAAAGGTTTACTGAAGCACACTGCTGAGGGCAGCAGTGGGATAGGCAGGAGAGGCCTGCTGTCCCATATGTGGATTAGCTCACTAGCTGGGGATCGAAATCAGGCCACAGTAGTGATTCATCAAAGTGCTGAGACTTAGCCACAAGGCCACAAAGGAGACCCAACCTGTCTCCCTCTGCAGTAAAAATATAAAAGATATACTTGCCCATACCAGTTAAATTCAATCTCCCAGAGTGGGGTCGAAAGATCAGTAATTTTTCAAAGTTTCCAGGTAAGATTCTACTGTAGAACTTGAGTTGAGTTTTACAGCTAGACCAGAGCTTCCCAAGTTGAGACCTTGCACAGGCTGCAGTTGTGTGTGCACTCACAACTCCTCCCAAGCCCAGGCACATCATAAAAATGTTAGTTTTTCTTCAAGCTCTACTACAAAGCCATAAAAATCAAAACTGCATGGTACTGGAACACACAGATATACAGACCAGTGGATTCAAATAGAAAACCAAGGTATAGGACCTCCTTGGTGGCTCAGCAGGTTAAAGCACTGCACTGAGAAGCTAATGCCACTTCTGCATGCGTTCGATCCCCACCTGCCCTGGAGGAGATCCACATGGCAAGGCAGACCTCTCCTGACCTGCCCGCTGCTCCCCTCAGCAGTGTACTTCATGGATCTGCCTGTTCTGCTCCCCTTTCTGTCTCTGGTGAATCCTCTCACCCTCCACATCTCTGGTGTGTACCCCAGTTCCATATGAATAAGTAAATAAATCTTTAAAAACAAAAGAAAAGAAAAAGAAAACCACAGGTTTATGGACAGCTAATCTTTGACAAAGGAGCAAAAAGATACAATGGAACAAAGAAAGTTTGTTCAGCAAATGGTGCTGGGAAAACTGGGAAGCTACATGCAAAAAAATGAAACTAGATCACTACCTCACACCATACACAAAAATCAACTCAAAGTGGATTAAAGACCTAGACGTAAGAACAGAAACCATAAAATACCTGGAAGCAAAGATGGGCCAAACACTACACGACATACACTTCAGCCACATCTTTGAAAATACAGCACCCAATGCAATGATAGTGAAGGCAAGGTTAAACACATGGGACTACATCAAGCTAAAGAGCTTCTGTACAGCAAAAGAGACATTACAAAAGACAGACATCCCACTGATTGGGAAAAAAGTTCTCACACAAAACTAGTGATAAAGGATTGATCACAAAGATATACAAAGAACTGATGAAACTCAACAAAAATAAACAACCCCATCAAAAAATGGGTAGAAGAGCTAAAAAGACACTTTGCCAAAGAAGAAATGCAGATGGCCAACAAGCATATGAAAAAATGTTCAACATCACTTGTGGTAAGGGAGATGCAAATTAAAAGTGAGATACCACCTCACCCCAGTGAGAATGGCACCTCTTCAACTAGCAATAACAAATGTTGGCGAGGATGTGGAGAAAAAGGAACTCTCCTGCACTGCTGGTGGGAATGCAAAAGAATACAACCACTATGGAAAACTGTTTGGAGGTTCCTCAAACTGCTTAACTGGAGCTTCCCTATGACCCAGCAATCCCACTCCTAGGTATCTACCCAAAAAACACAAAAACACTGATTCAAAAAGATACCTGCACCATCATGTTTACTGCTGCATTATTTATAATTGGAAAGGCATGGAAACAACCCAAATGCCCAAAAGTAGATGACTGGATTAAAAAGATGTGGTACATATACACAATAGAATATTACTCAGCAACCAATAAATAAATAAATAAATAAACACATGCCTTTTGCAGCAACATGGCTGGAATTGGAAAAGATCATGCTTAGTGAAATAAAGAAAAATACCGAATGGTTTCACTCATAGCAGGAGTATAACGGATGACACGAGAAAATAATCTTAATGAACAGTTATATACCAGAGACATTTTATGGGGGTGGAGTGGGGAATGAGATCAAAAACAGTGGGGAGAGGGAAATACACTGAACTTTGGTGATGGCACATGGGTGATTGGTGATGGGAAGCCCAAGGGGATTACAGTTGAGATGGAAAAATGCACAAAATGATGGGAAAATAAACTATTGAAAACAATAGTTTTTATGATGTGATTATGAAAAGCATTGGGGTGACTGACAGATAGCACCGTATCAGAACAGTTAGCTTCATTTTTCATTTTTTGTCTGACTTTCTTGACTTGATATATGCTCAGTGCTCATTAATTTCACAACTATATGTTCTGCTGTTTCTTGTGTCTGCAGCATACTATAAAGGCTCCAAAGGATGGAACAATTAAGAAAGTGTTCTACCAAGAAGGTTCTCAGGCCAATCGACATGCACCTTTAGTCCAGTTTGAGGAGGAGGAGTCTGACAAAAGGGAAGCAAAATAAACTCCATCAAAGAAATGACCAGCTAAACTCTATCTTAAGTATATCTTCCTACCTAGAAGAAAAAGTGCCTTTTGCTTTTCCTGGAGTCTAATAAACAGCCATTTTACTAAATGATTTAAATGATTGTGCCAAAACTTTTCATATTTAAGAATCATGCACTTGATCACAAATACAATAAACTATCTGAAAATCGTTCCTGTTAATAAAACTGAATTATACATTTTTTATTAGAAGGTACTATAATTTGTTTCTACCTTGAATTTTATATAATGTAATATCTTTAGGAAAGTGGGAAGCAACTTGATTGAAAGAGAATGGTTAGAAGAGGAAAGGTGGCTTAATTAAATGAATTCTTTCCCATTTATAATTGTAATGAAAATGGACATCAACATATTTTAGAGACAGATGCCACTAAATTAGCCAGATGCAATTAAACTCAACCAAGGTTTTGTTTTCACCAAAAAGTAACTTATTAGGTATTTTAAAGATACAGATACTACTTGTTTCTTGCCTCTGTTTTTGGAAAGTTCCTATCTAGACTTTTTATTGTACTTTTATTGTACTTTTCTAAGCTTGTACAAACTGGATATAATATATATATATGTATACACACACTTATGGGTTTTATATATATATGTTTTTATGTATATCATTTTATTTACATTAATTTTGTTAAGATGTAATTTATTAATATTTAATTTAGATAAACTTGAAAAAAATAAGTTATAGGAAGTGGGTAAGTATAGAAAACCAGACTCTGCTGAATACTTTTTCTAGGAATATTCTGTAATACTTTCTTTAGGGGAAATAATCTGTCAATTTTATTTCTTTGTTTTTGCCTAGATTCTCATTGTCACTATTATTAACAGACATGGATATTTTCACATATCCACTGAAATGTTAAATTTTTTTTAAGGTTCATTTATTTATGCATACAGAACTGGGGTACAGGCCAGGGGTGAAGCAGCAGTGGGCGGCAGTGAGAGGACTCACCAGAGAGAGTGGGGAGCAGAACAGGCAGGTCAATGAAGTACACTGCTGAGGGGAGCAGTGGGTGAGACGAGAGAGGTCTGCCTCACTATGTGAATCACCTCCCGGGGCCAGGGATCTAACTGCACTGAAGTGGCTGTAGCTAGCTTGCAGTGTTATATTGCACCACTAAGGAAGGCCCTATTTGTTGAATTCTTGATGCATGTGTAAGACTATGTTAAATGTATGAAAAGTACAAAGAGAGATAAAAGATGGCCTCTGTACTTTCAGATGCCTATGATTTGATTGGGAAATAAGATATAATCTGGTCAAAAGTTATATAGGGAAGTATAAATCCACAATTAATCTTTTCTCCTAGCTGCCAAGGAAGCAATTCCATTATCAAAAGAGTAGTGAGAAGGGTACCAAATACTAAAATCGGAAATGCTGAGTTCTCAAATAAATCTGATTACACAGCTTAGTCAGAATGTCTGTTTTTTCCAAGAAGGTAACATGAAACTCAATATCCTGGAGGGGGGGGGGGCGGCAGCAGGGGGAAGGCTGATATCATGTGATTGATGCAGAAAATTGGTCTTTCAGGAACTAGGGAGAGAGAATGCTGTGAGCAGATGAGATTTGAGTGAAATTTTATAAAGAACCCCGGGGCAGTAGTGGAAGGTGGGTGTTAAAACTAGAAATGGAGGAGCAAAACGTTACTGTTGATATGATGAGATTGTATTCTACATCCAGAAGCTGATCTGCTTAACTGCAATAGAGGGTTAGGGAAAGGGGCTAAAAGAAAAGATGTGAAGTTTGGTGTGGGGTCAGATTATAATTAGCATGGAAGACTAGGTTTGAATGTTACCTTTCAAGTAATGGTGACACTGAATTTTTTTTTATAGGGTTGGACATTTGCATACCCTATGGCCTAGCATCGTGTTTCTAGAAAATCTCAAGTGCACTTTCCGCACCAAAAACCTTCACAGTCACATAACACATAGTGTAGCACTGGAAAAACTCAGAGTTGGCTGGCAGGCAGAGTAAATAGCTGGTCTGACACACATTGGAGTACCATGTAACAACAAAATAAGCAGCTTAAGTGTATCAATATGGGGCCTCCCTGGGGCCCAGGCATCAAAGTCGCAGTGCTATCAAGCTATTGCCAGCCACTGTAGAACCGAGTTCGATCCCCAGCCAGGGTCCTAACACATGGCACATCAGACTGCTCCTGTCTCCCCCACTGCTCCCCTCTGCAGTGTATTTCAGTAGATCCTACTGTTCTGCTCCCCACTCTGTCTTTTGTGAATACTCTGACCACCCACCCAGCACCTCTGGCTTACACCCCAGCTCTTGCATGCATGAATAAAAAAAAAATAAATCTTTTAAAATGAGTGAATATAGATGAATCTTAGAATCATAATATTGAGTGAAAGAGCATGTCCCAGGATACATAAAGTATTTCTATAGACTTCCAAAATCAATAATAGTGTATATTTCTAGATATGTGGGTATATATGTGCATACACATATGGTGCGGAAAGAGCACTTGAGATTTTCTAGAAACACGATGCTAGGACATAGGGTATGCAAATGTCCAACCTTATAAAAAAAGCAATACTCTTAAAAATTTTAATGTTAAAAGCAGTGGTCAGCTCTGGTTGATAGGCAAGGGGCTGAAATAGATGAGGTACAGTCAAGTAGGTGCAAGCTACTCTTATGTTCAGATAATGGGGCTAGATGGTTGGGTGGGTTATATTTATTAGAGTTATGTTGCTTGGTTATTTTTATTACACAGGTATGTTTCATAACTTGTTACATATAAACTTTATAATTAAGATAATTTTTTTTAAATTTCACTTGTCAACAATATATAAGTTGAATGGAAGAATAGGTGAGAAGTCAGAAAACTATTTAGGAAAAAGTTCTTACAGATTGTTAGGCATGAGATGATAAAGGACAAAGACATATAGACCAGTGCTTTTTTTAAACTATATTTTTAGCAACAGTCTTTTCACCTGTCCAAATTATTCCTTATTTACCAGGGGATAAAGCAAAGGTGCTCTGGTACAAACTTGGGGTTTCCTTTGCCCCCTCTCACATCCTTAGTGGTATAAGTGAGGTGTCTATTTCATTGCTGATCACAGGTAATGGTGTGCATAGAAGGAATGTGAAGACAGCCAAGCCCGTTTACTCAAATCTTTGTGAATTTTTTTAAAAGCATTGCCAATTGTGCTATGTGAGCAGAGTTCTTTGCATCTGTTTCCTCTATAAATTCAGAGCATTTGCTGAATACCAGGTTTCCTGGTGGGAAAAGATGGTAAAAAAAAAAAAAAAAAAAGTGTTTAGCCCCTGCCCTAGTAGATGTGAAACAATTCAGCTTATAAAAACTGCAATGTAGTTGGAAGTGAGTAGCACTAGGTGCTGTGGGGGCGGGGCAAATGGAGTTATAAATTGTACTCTGGGTCAGGAAGCTTTGAATAACTTTGAGAGGTAGCGACATATGAACCGGACTTTGGAGGATAGCCATTTGCCAGATGGAGAAAGAGGTAAGACAAGGCCATTGGAGGGAGAGGGACCAGCAAGGACTAATAATAACAGGGAGGTGTGAAAGTGCTCACGGGGTTCAGACACAGCAGTCCAGCGGGAGCTGGACCACAGAGGCCTCAGCACAGCGCTGGAGGAGGGCTGCCCAGCAGGGGAAAGACTATTCTAGTGGCAGTTGGGAGCCCTGGAGATTTTCAAACAGACAAGTTTTTCAAAGTTATTTCTGTCCACAGTCTGGAGTACAGATTGGAAAGTGGAAAGAGACTAGAGACAGAGAATCCAAAAGAGGTACCAAATATGGAAGCCTGGGCTGGGTGGACCCAGTAGAGAAGACTGGTTCACATCTCCTTGACTTAAAAGCAACTCTTCTTTTGGCAAAGATCTATTTGCAAAATGGGATCAAAAACTGAGTAATACAGTTGAAAGAAAATTTTTTGCTCCCTGTCTTAACAGTATTGCCCTGGTATATGTTCAGGTCTATAATAACCAAGAAAACAAAATTAGGAGCCCTAATTGTTGCTAGGAAGGTCACCTTTTATTGTAGTCAAAGCAGCTTTGGACTAAAATTTCTGCCATTCAGACCCTAATTCAGCTCTTTCCTGTCCTGTCATGGACCAGTCTTTTAACCTCTGAGCTTTATCTGAAAGATGGGAGTGGCACTGTTAGCTCATAGGCTTGTTTGGAGATTAAATGAGAAAATGTAGAGGCTGCTTTAAGCACTGTGCCTGGAAAATCATTTATATGCAGCTGTTAGTTATTATTAATTTCTAGCTCCAGCTATTGCTTGAGAGCATTTAAGAAATTGCACTAAATTCAACCCAGCTGGTTACTCTTGCCAGCAAAATTCCCAGCTCCTGTGATGGTGGAAAAACCCGGCCTGGACATGGCGTTACCCAGTCCCCTCTCTTCCCTCCCTCCCCCCGCTCCTGGCTACTTCCGTGTCACCCAGGCATCTGTCAACTGCAGTAGATTGTGGTTCTGTCCCCATAGCTCCCATCACGCCTCCCTCTGTGACATTCAGGCTGCCAGAGTGGCAGGTCCTGGAACCTATGTGCTTGTGGGACAGCGGCATGGCCAGAAGCAGCCGAGATTTGCTTGAAAGGTAGGCCTGGACTTAATTATTTGTGCCTACTAGCTGTCAGTGTGTGTGTGTG